TGATTCTGTACCTTTGAAACAAAAAAAATTTTCATCAGTTCTCTCATATTCATTTTGCTTAGATTATTTCAGCCAGGCAAGGGCAAACCATTAAAATATGTATGTTAGCCTTAAATAATCACAAAAAGTAACTAAACTTCATTCAACATAGGCTAAGTAGGAATTTTAATTGAAATTTCAAACTCAAATGAGGCTACAAGAAAGCATAATATACAAAAGCACAGGTGTCTACATCCAATAAAATGTTCCACAGCCCTATTTGCAGCCAGTACTGGGACATATGAGATGAATCCTACAATGTTACTCTAGAAATGTCTGGAATAGGCATCTAAAATCAAGCCAGAGAATCACACACTGTAAATGTGCCTATTTCTACTGATTACACAAGTAGATTAAATTTAAATAGGTAGAAATAAGTGAAGCTCATTCTCCTCCAGGATACAGTTCTTATGAAGGACTCTGGCTGACATACAAAGAAATTTATCAACTTAGAAAAAACTCCCCAAAACAACAAACAAATGAACAACAACCCCCCTGGACTTAATATTGTTGCCTAATGCTGAAAATTTTAAATTACATAAACAACAATGAGCTTTACAAAACAGATCACAGATGGGTTCATAAGCAATACAAGCAATGGAAACCTCACATAATAGTTTATCTGTTTATCTGAGATGGCAGCATCCTTTGATGTTCTTAATGCATTTTGTACAATAACAGGATTTTGAAGAGGAGAAAAAGCACTTGATTTATTGGATTGATACTTTATTACTTGGAATAAAGCTAATGAGAATTAAATTTAATTTGCTCCATAACCCATCCAAGAATTAAACCCTACTTATTTGTTATGCATTTCCAAGTCATTACAGAATATTAAAATCAGAATGGCCTGGGCTGGATGGGATCTTAGAGACCACCTATTTCCAATCTCCCTGCCACCTTCCACAAAATCATGTTGCTCAGAGGTCCATCCAACCTGACCTTGAACACTTCTCAGGATGTGGCATCCACAGCTTCTCTGGGCAACTTGTTCCAGGAAAAAATTCTTCTTAAAATCTAATCTAAATTTACTCTGATCTTGTCCTCTCATTACCTGCTCTTGTAAAAAGTCTTGTAGGAAGTCATGAGAGACCTAGTCTTCATTCACTAAATCATATTCTAAATCTTGGGTTGGAAGTCCTGAGAAGAGGACTGGGGACAAGAGACACACAAAAATACACACGCGTACTAACTGCTAAGCACCTAAACCAAGCCGTTCAGAACCACACTTCCAGCTACTGGGATAAATGGGAGCGGAGCAGAGATCCTTTTTTCCAGACATTGTTAATTTGAAAGGCACACAAGCTGGATTTTACTCCCCAGTGCACTGACCAGATATATTCCTGGAGATGAACTGGATTTTTGGTTGGTTAGTTTGATTCTGATAACTTAACCAGATTTTGCAGGTAATCCATAGTGGGAATTCCCAGGCATGAGAACCATTTTTATATGGGATCTGGAATACTCATTTTTAGCAGCTTGATAACAGAAAAATCTGACCATTAAGTCTTCTAGGGATTTTCTAAGGATAATTTACAGTTACTTCTGAATTGAAGAAAAAAAATTAACTAGATCAAAAATACTGCTTTAAGCTTGTAAGCGAGCTCACTACTCAATATTTTAAGTCATTACAACATGCTTATTTTTCATCCTTACCTACACCCAGGAGTTCCACAGCAACACTTGCTATGCCATTCTCTGCAGCCAAGACAGACCTCCACTCCAAGAAATAGGATGCTACCAGTGTGGTCTCACCAAATGTGTCTGTTTTGATCAGAACCATATGTACTGGGTCACATATAGATAACATAGTGGTTGCATCCACCATCTTGCTTCCATCACCTGCCATTATTAAACCAAAATAAAACAACAAGAATATTATCATCCCAAGTTCTCCTCAGAATTTTAAAACAGTATGCAACAAAATGCAATGTCTGTAATAAGTATAAAGAAAGACCTTGAGTCCAGAAGTGTAAACAATGATCCTATCTCTAACGCCATACTCACTTTAGGACAGAGCTACAGAGAGATTACAGAGAAGATAAAATTATTTTGCAGTTGAGTACTGCAATGCAACTAGTTCAGATACACAAAAAATATAAATGGAATTAACATTTAAGAATTTATAAAGCTGGTCAATTTCAAGTTATTTTAGAGTGAAAAAGAAGGAAAAGAGCAAGAGCAGAGAGAGATCTACAAGGGGTATAACCCAATACAGTAATCAGTTTTCTCAGGAAAACATGACAAAAACCAGGAAAAAAATTCACTAAATAATACCAAACATGTTTTCACAATAACTCTCAGGTCAGAAGAAATCCCAACAGCATCAGCTTTAAACTCACAATATTCCTTACCTAGGCTATCCTTGTGTATTTCAAGTAGAAAACCATCCTGAAAATCTGGCTCACAGGCACAGGGTACAGGTTTGGAACGGAAGCGCTGGTTTCGAAAATGTAAACACAGAGTGAAGGTAGAACAGATCTGGCCAGGCAGAGGCTCTGGTTCCTGAAGATGTTCCAGAAAAGCTTTTCCACCCAAAACCTGAAGGTAAAGATACCTCCGTGTTGGGTCAATGTTAGCTGCAAAGCGTAGCAATAAAAATGAAGAGACTACAAACAGATCTTAGAAAGCTTAATTTGTTAAATATCAGGTAACTAACAGGACACTAGCAAAAAATGAAACTTCTTTGAAACATGCTTAGGAGAAAGTGATTTTAAAATATATCTTTGTGTAAAGTAAATGAATTAATAATAAATAATATTTAATGCAACACTGATTGCTGCTGCTTACATGAGTTTACTCCCTGTGGATAAGCAGAGGAAACATCCACCTTTATTCCAGTTCATACTGGATTACTAATTCAGAGTGCCAAAATCAGAGACTTCAAATTTGCTTTAAAACCATGATCTAAACATTTAAATAAACAAGAAACATACTTTTTTTCAAAACTGGTGGTTCTCTGTCAACAAAATGTGTTGATGGTTTTGGAGCCAAAGTCCTCTCCGTTTCATTCACATCCTGGAATTACAATTAAGACTTTTTAAGGACTCAAGGGATGCAACAGTGCTCTTACCACAGTCTTCCAAAAATTAAAGGATCTTCCATTTCGTCTGAATGCCATTCCTTAGGTATACTCCCTTCTAAAACTGAACAAATATTTTCAGTGCAGTATTATCACCAAACCGATTTCAGCATGTGCATTAATCTTCTCTGCTCCTATAATGTCTCAAATCAGTAAGGTCCTTACAAAACTCCAGAAGCAGCGGTTTCACTTTGTCGAAAAACCACGGCAGTAAGAGGAATAAGCAGAAATACTTCCCTTCTTAAAAAGCTACTTACAGTTACAAATTTAAGTTCCTTCATAACATCATCAATGATTCCCCGCTGTCTTAGGGCTCTTATCAGATCTTCTGTGGACAACTGCTGCTGCTCAGGCGCCAGCTCTTCTCGTACAGTCTCAGCAAGAACTTCTCGTATCCTCCCATGGACATCCATCTGAAAGAAAATTCATTATGTGTTACAAACACCAGCCCTCTGTATGGCAGCAGGTCCAACTTACCAATTAAGTCTGTAAGGCTAATGGTGTTTTCCTAAGAACACAGAAATAACAATATCAAAATACTGATCCTTGCACAACTAATCAAATGAGCCACTATCTTACAAAAGCAACTCTCCCAGTAAAAAAAAAATTACAAGCATACAAAACCTTGGCATTTTCACTGCTCTTTGACAGCAACTCATCTTGAACTTCCCCCCTTACAAAAAGGTCTGGAAATCCATAAATTACAAAATGGTCACTGTTCCATTTTCTTGTCTCCCTCAAAATTCAACCTTAATATAATACTTCCTTATTTTTTAAGGGGAAAAAATATGCTTTTATATAGGTTGGGCACAAAAGCAGTAGATCTCCTTTGCAAGCTTTCCCTATACTCAAAGGGATGTCTGAGAATGCCCATCATCTGAGCTGTGAAAGCAGATGGATTTATAGAGCTGACTCTCACACTGGAAGGCTGCTAAGGACACAGTCACCAGGACCTGAAACGGAATCACAGAACGACCTTGTTGGAAAACACCTTAAAGATCATCTAATTCCAAAACCCTGGCCATGGGCAGGGACACCTTCCACTAGATCCGGTCACTCAGAACCCCACCCAGCCTGGCCTGAAACACTTCCAGGGATGGGACATCCACAACCTGCTCCAGTCCCTCAACACCCATCACAGTGAAAAACTCTTCCTAATATGTCTTTCAATTTGAATCCATCTCCCCTTGTCCTGTCACTACACGCTGTGGTAAAAAGCCTGTCTCCTTTCTTGCTGGCTCCCCTCAGAAGGCTGCTATGAAGTTCCCACCGAGCCTTCTCCTCTCCGGCTGCACAATCCCAGCTCTCTCAGCCTTCCTCAAGCAGAGGCGCTGCCCCCCTCTAATCATCTTGCTGGCCTCCTCTGGACTCACTCCAAGATCCCCGTTCTCCTGTGACGGGCAGGAATATTCACCACTGCACTAACAAGCGCTATAGGAGTTACAGCCTCCTTACTTATTCCCCGGCCAGTTCAAGACCCTCGCTCAAAAAGCAACAGGAAAGCGACCAAGCGGCGCCTGGAAACCACCTGCAGCGACCCAACTGGGAAAACAAAGCGGGGCGCCGGAGCGGGCGCCGCCGCCACCCGCGGCCGGGTGACACCGGCACGGAGGCCAGCACAGCTCCCTGAGGGCCGGGGAAGTCTCTCCGGCGCCGGGCCCACCTTGAGCAGCTGCTGGTGGATGATCTGCTTCAGCTCCGAGGCTTTCTCCGGCGGCAGCGACATGGCGGCACCGCCACCGAGCGAGCCCAACCGCCCCGCAGCCAGCGCGGGCAGCGCCGCCGCCGCCCCCTGGCGGCGGCACGCGGGTGCGGCGTCCGCGCCCTGCTTCCTTCCTCCCTCCCTGCTTCCTTCCTTCCTCCCTCCCTCCTTCCCTCCCTCCTTCCTTCCTTCCTTCCCTCACTGCCTGCTTTCTCCTCCCTTCCCGGCCGGCATGTTCATTCCGTGCGGCCGCGGCGGGGGCTCCGCCGCCCCCGACTTTAAAGGGTTCACTCTGCTGATGGTGAGTCACGCTCCTGCTTCGCCTTTCGCCGCCCTCGCCCTCGGTGGGTTTGAGGGCTCGCTGCCCGCGGTCCCTGTGCCGAGGGCTCCGCTCCGCTCCTGTGGGACGGGACACGTCCCACGGGGTTCTGGTGTCGGTCCCTGCCCTGCCCGAGGCTCGTCCCTGGGCGCTTGGCCGCGGGATAAGCGGAGAAAGCTCAGGGCAGGCGGTGTGTGTGGAATCTGTGGGGTGTTCTGGGAAAAGAGGGTTTGGAGGGCTCTGTCTGCGGCAGAGCTTAGCGCGGTCTTCTCCTTTTCTGCCAGCTTCTCCCTCCTCAGAACCCCGGGTTTGCCCCTGTCAAGACGATCCGTGCCGAGCTGCAACAGCTATATTTTAATTTAGAGCAATAACTATATGCTATTTCGGAGCTATAGCTATACGCTGTTGCTCTAAAAATTAACGCGCCCTATGTGCTTTTACTGGATTTGCAGCACCCGTGGGTTGTCACTGCAATAAAAGCTTGGGATTTTTTTTTTTTTTTTTAATTTAGATGTGATATATAAATGCTTCAAATGTTTTTTTTAAAAAACCATTCTGCTACATTTAAATCTCGGACTAGGATTGTTTTCGGAAGTGTTTTTATTGCGCGTGACACCGGCGCCGGGTGACGTGCCCGAGGTGACGCTGCCGGCGGGAGCTGCAGGCTGCGGAGGGACGAACGCCGTCTGGTCTGGCCTCGCTGCGCTGGCTGCAGGAGCCCCGCCGCCGCCCAGGCGGCTCCACTGCCGGCACGGCTGCCGGGGAGTCATTCCCGCTCCGCTGGCGAGCGCCAGGAAGCGCATCCCTGCCGAGCTGCGCGCCTGCGGAGGGCGGGCAGCTGGGTGCCAGCCAGGCGGGGACACAGCAGTGCTGCCGCGGCCCCCTTCATCTTCTGTCCGCCTCAAATCCGCTGTCTTTCCCCAACAGGCAGCAGCAGCAGTAATTCTTAGATTTGATTATAAATTAGAGGAAAGCAACCGAGCGGTTTATGGTAGTCTTCCCGTAATAGTTTCTTTGGAAGGACACTGACTCTTTACTTTCTCTTTCCGTGCCGTCATATTAGGTCAGTATCTGCCCCGATCGATGACAACCCGTAGCAATTCTTACGAAATTAATTTAAGGGCACCCTTATAATTTTCATCCTTAAAAAATATGTAAAATTACATACTCTTGTCTATGAGTCAGTCTGAGATTTAGAGGCTTAACATGTAATACCAGAGCTGCCTTTGGGCATCATGTGAGCCAGTCTCACATCAGTCACTTGAGTGACTTTTACCTACTCTCAATCCAAAAATGTGGGGAAGGAGGTAAGTTTCCAAGCTGTTCTTTCAGTTTACAATTAGACAGGATTATTCACAGAACTGGCCAGGATGTTTTTTGTCGGACAGAGACCAAATCCTGTATTTACCAATTCTTCTGGTAGGAAATAGTCACCTTTGCCAGAGGATGAGCAGCCACTTTCAGAAATGATGTTTGACCAGATTTTAAGGTTTCACTATTTGAAGAGCACATTATGCCATCCATAAAGTATGCTGTAATTCGGTTCGTTCTGTTACTTCAGCCAGCCGTGTCCGTGGGGAATGTCGGTCAGTTGGCAATAGATCTGGTGATTTCCACGCTTGACATGACTAAAGTTGGTTACTTCTACACCGATTGCCTGGTGCCAATGGTTGGAAATAACCCATATGCAACAGCAGAGGAAAACTCAATGGAGCTGAGTATAAATGCTGAAGGTGGGTATAGAATACTGCAAGCGTTTGCAAGGGACATAAGATGCAAGAACATCACATTTTCTTTTTCGTTGTTGTTAAATTTTGCTGATGTGCTTAAATTAAGGGCAGTAATAACAGCTGCAGAAACCTACAGATAGGAATGTATTCATATTTCACAAATGAAACAGTTCCTGTTGTTATTTTGGAAAACCAATTTGACATTTAGAATGTTTGAGCCATATTGTAGTGCAACCAGAACTCTCTGTGGTATTAATCCAAAGCAATATGAAGTGTGCACATACTTAAAATAAATTATTGGAATACAAGTTGAATTTCTCATTTAGAAAGATACTTATCCACTCTTCTTCTTTCCTACATACCTCTGCCTTTTTCCCTGTGTAATGTTTCTCCCACTCCCCCTACAAATTCTTAATTTCTTTCCCTACATTCATCATTGTATCTCCTTTTTTTTTACCCTCTTAAATCAGAGAAATCTCAGAATAATATGGCAATCTTTGCAAAGATGCATACATAATCTGAATCATTACAGAAGGCAAATCCTCATACACGTTTCATAATTCAGTCCTTAAATTAGTACAACTGAAAGTACAATGCACAGAAATATGTGTTTTTAACACAGTGGATGTTGTCAGGCTTTCCCGTATGAATTGATAACTGAAAGGTTTACTTTACTATCCTGAAGTTTGTAAGTGGGGTAATTCTTGATATATTTAAACCCAGATTCTCAGTTTCTGCTTAATATGACAATGATTTCTTCTTGTAGTGTACTCCTTACCTTCAAAGAAACTTGTAGTTCTGCAGATCAGATCACCTTTTATAAAGGTATGTATGTTCATCGATCATTTTTACTTCACTGTTTGGTTTGAATAGTTCTGCTGGCAAAAATATTTTTCTACTTCAGGCTGTAACACCTTCTGCAGTTGGTAAAGTTTTACTGATTTCTGCATTTGCTGAGGCATTTTGCATCATCAGTTTGGGCATTTTGTTTTTCCAAGCCCCACAACAGCTGCCTGTGTTGGTAGATTTTAGTGCTAATATCTCCTTAGTTATTAAGAGTCATGAAAATACAAAATGGTCTGGGTTTTGTTTGTTTATTTTTTCCTTTGCGTTTATATTTTTTCTGTATTCTTTGTAATAGCTTTATTCTTTTTTGTGTTATGCCAATTTAATTATTTCATATTATTCTATATTCATTTAAACAATGTTCATTTGGTAAAAATGAGGAATTTAGTATTACTCATCAATTGGGCAGTGGCTGTAATTTAAAATAAGCAGAATGCCATCACAGAAAAGAAAATTGTAGTGCAGTATTTTAGCAGTTCAAAGTGTGGAAAAATACTGTGTGATCCTGCCATCCCATCCTGCTCTAAATCTTTTTCCTTTGGTATTAACGGCACACAAAACAGGTAGTACTGTTGTTCTTGACATGGTCTTAGAGATAATTCTTGTAATTCTATTTGTAGTTTTGCTTAAGTAAACAACCAGGGCAGTTCTCTGCTTTCTAATATATCTGGGGCTGAAAACTAAGTGGATATGAAGAATAATTTACGTCACTGCTAAATACTATATGTAACACCTAGTATTGTTAAGGACACATTAAATTTTTCACTTTTTTGTCTGTGTCTTTGCATGAAGAACAAGTACAGGCCATTCTGTGAAACTCTGCTTTCTTGGGTGAAGAGCAGCAAATTTGCCAGGGTTGTCCTCCTGTCCAGCAGCCACGCATACCAGCGTGATGATGAGCAACTTTTGGGGTATGTTTGTCTCCTTAAAAGATCTAATTGATGTTTCTGGGTTTTTTTGACTGATATATTTCCCTCTACTTCCATGTCCTGAGTACTTTTGGCAGGTGCTTTTACTTGCATGTGTGCATTGGTCATAAAATGCTTAGTATACTGTTAAAACATGACGTATTACAGTACAAGTCACTGAATTTTCTAGGTTACTACTGTCAGAAGTACTGATCAAATGAAAAGCTGTAAGCAAATTGCACTCAGCCTGCATTGCCTCAGTTTCAACTTCTGTGGCTGCAGGCAATATCAGGGCTTAACTGCTGACATACAGGTCACAAGTTAGGTTTTTAATAGTTGATGGCAGTATTAGTTTGTTTCTGACCTCTTTGTTATCATTCTGCATTTGAAAGGTTTTCTTCAATACAGTAAGTTGTCATTCCTGGTTTTTGGGTGTTTTTTTATAGGAAGTTATTTGCTGGGAGGCAACTGCAAGGCTGCAATTGCAGTCTTTTTTTAATAGATACTACCCATCCAAAAACCAGGCCTTTCCTGATGATTGAGGGCATCCTAATTGGTGATTTAATGAGAAATAAATAAAATCAGTACTTCTAGAAATAAGACCAGCATTTCTGCAGTTGTTATCCTCAGGCTCTATAAGTGTGTAGGGCCTCAAGGGAGATTTAGATCTATGCATGTCCCAGATATAGCAGTAGATCCATACAATTGCAGGATGGCCAGCTAACATGGAATGAAATGAGAGGGACTGATGGTTATTTGATGAGGTCTAATTCATAAGTTGTGATTTAAACCCTCCCAGCTCCTTCAGCACCACAGAACAAATCCCTTAGAGCAGATTTACTAAAGAGTGAGAGTAGTGCATCCAGAAAATACTTTTAACTTGACTAAAGTCTGAATCTATTAATAATGTGAGCTTACTAAAAATACTGTATCATGATGAAGTCCAAGTTTACCTTAACAGATTTTGAATTAATCACCTCTTATCTGAAGGAAGAAAAAACACATTTTATTAGTAAATTATTTTAACAACCATAAGCAGTTTCCCTATTTAGGTGCTTAAGTATTTGGCACTTGCCAGTTATTTGAGCCCCTGAAAGGGTACCTAAATTTTGTTTGTGGCATAAAGTTGAATAGTTTGTACAGTTTTGAGGCCACAGACTTACTTTCTAACTTCGATCTGAAGAGGGAGACAATGTCAGACCATTTCTTCCCTGCAGGTGTGAGGTCCTCAGTGCTGGCACCTTCTGTCTGCCAGAAGTGCTAACTGGGGCAGTGTCCTTCCTTGGCAGACTGAATGCATCCTTGACTTGTTTCTAGGACACCACTGCGCTACCTGCTCACACCTGATCTGGAGAAAGCAGTTGGAGGCCGCATGAAGGAGCTAAATTGGAAAGAAATGGAAAAAGTAGCAGCTTATCCTGGAATAAATAATACAGACAAAGTTCTGCATATACCTGGAGGTGGAATCACAAAACTATTGTTTACTGAGAGGTGAGTGGCCTAAAGATAAGCACAGAAAGGTCTCAGAAGTCTTGTTTTTAGTACTTGGGTGAAATTATCTTATAAACTGCTATGTTATAGGGAGAGCAAAGTCCTTCTGTTTATAGAACAGGGCTTTACAGGAATAGAATTTCATTCAGGTCAGGCCCATAATTAAGAGGAAGAGAAGTAGAGTCCTGGATCATAAAGTTAGAGTAAGATAAAAATATAAGGGAATAGGCTAAAGGAAAATAATAAAGTCTTTACAGTTATGATCACAATCAATCTGATATCTGATATTATCCAAATGACAATTTATAAATTGTAGTAAATTTCTGTACCTTTGCTGTTTCCTGAGGCAAATGGTTCCAACATCAGTTATATAAAAAAACTCAAAAATCCACAAACAATTCTGAGCTCTATGAATGAGTTAAGATTTCAGGGCCAGCCAAAAAATGAGATGTGGAGGTTTTGTTAAAAGCTGTGTGCATCAGAAGTTGTGCTGAAAGCTGAGTTAATTTTAGAAACTAATACTTACTTATAGCACAATTGTGTGTTTCCACAAAAGATGTGTGTTCAGTGGAAAATTGACTTTTATTTTTTAATTATTAGTTTTGACACTTGACCACACTGTTGTATTCAACAGCAACAAAGTTACTAATACCATGCTTACATTTAGACTGACTTCAGAATGGAAATGATACACAATTGCAAATGAAAAAAACCTGCCAGGACTTGAAGTAAAAAAATTAAAAATAACCATCTTAATATCTAAATTAAAAAATAAGAATATTCCAAGTGAAGTAGTCATATGCAGCCTGCAAAACTGCTGGTTTCAAATACACAGAAAGATAAGGAGATATTGTATTAAAGGATGTGTACAGGCACCTCACCAGCACAAAAATGCAAACTTAAGTATGTAAAAGGCCTGAATACTTTTGCAAGATGTAGGATTTGTGCCTTGCAAAGTAAAGAACAAATTCAAGACTAAGCAAAAAGCCTGAAGTGTGAAAATGTGATCTAGGAAATCTGGAGGAAAAAGAATATATATGTATACATACATTTTTCCTTTTTGGTTTTGGCTTTTCACAAGATACATGCATATTGTTGCTGCTCTTAAAACATAAGTATATTTATTCTGGATCTAAAAATAAATATAAATGCATGGCCATTTTTATTGCAGCTGTTCAGAGGGAATCCAAATGGCAGTTCTTCTGAAATTTTGCTCAGAAGGAGACAACATCCCTGATGCATTTGTTCTTGTTAACTATCTTAATGAATGGCTCCAGCTAATTAAAAGTGAAGTAAGTACTGTTTCATCTAAAGTTCTTGCTGTCATAGTCTATATCCATTATTTTATTTTTCTTCAGTCCAGATGGGTTCATTTTGGCTCTTGGTCATCAAGAATATGCCAAATAAAATAGATATTTGTATTAAAATCTCACTGGAAGTTTCATCACCTGAAAAAACAAATCTGAACACCAGTTATTTTGTTTGACAGTGTGGGCAAAAATTGTGTAAAGTTTTGATTGAGTTCTCTCTTCTAATGCTCTTCTCTAAAGCAACCCACCATGACACTGACACTTGTACTGCTGCCCATTATTTTAACACCCAGTTACATCATTACTGCTTAATACTTAAATATTCTGGGTTTGTTGCAGATCAAAAATTCCACAGATCCTTCTTCGCAGTGGAAGATACCAAGTTCTTGGCGCCTACTTTTTGGCAATGGTCTCCCACCTGCCCTCTTCTGATCAGCTCTGAACTCGCTGTGAGTCACATGTACAGTCACAGATGTCCCTTGAGGTGGTGATTACACAATAATTATCAAGGAGCAGCAGCTTGCTTTGGTGTCTACATAAATGCTTTATTTAAGAAAAATTCCTTTTGTGTATGTGGGTAGCTAAAGAAATTAAGGTAACTTTCACAAACTCACCAAAGAAATACCTTTTGTACAGTTGTTTATTGAGTAAATTTGGTTGGAAGTTTTTTCTAATAAAATATTTTTTAAGAAACTTTTTTTCCTGGTTATGTGTTACTGCCATGGACAAGCTTAAGGTGCTTCTTTTTAATGCAGCTGAGAACTGAAAGTGATGTGTAGGCATGGATTTTCTTGGGAGATAAAACCCTCCACTTCCACATCACCTGTGGATCTTAACCTTTTTTCAAGACTTCCTGGTGAGGTAAGTGAAGGTCAGAAGTGATCTGATTTTGCCTTCTTTTCCCAATGCTTTTGTGGTAGCTTCAACAGGGTAGACTGCAAACAGTGTAACAGCCTGTTCTGTCTTTTCTGTCTATATAGTTGTAAACAGTGCGGGTTGGAAGGGGTCCTGATCCAAGAGATCCTCTAGTTCCAACCCCACTGCTATAGGCAGGGACACCCTCACTAGACCGGGTTGCTCAAGGCCCCAGCTAGCCTGGTCTTAAACGCTTCCAGGGATGAGGCATCTACAACTTTTCTGAGCAACTTGAGCCTGTGCCTCCCCACCCTGAAATTAAAAAAATTCTTCCTAATACCCTACCTAAATCTACTCTTAGTTTAAAGCCATTTCCCTTTCTTTTCACTACGTGCCCTTGTAAAACGTCCCTCTCAAGCTCTCTTGTAGAGTCCCTCTGGGAACTGGGAGGCCACAATTGGGTTACCCCTAAGCCTTCTCCTTTCCAGGCTTCCCTTCCATTTCCAGAGGCTGAAACTAAAGCTTTCTAGGTCAATGAGCCTTAGACCGAACATTAATTCAGTGCCCTGAAACATAAAGGAATCAGGAAACCTCTAATATCAGGCAGTCTTGTATCTCTGTATTCTACAGGCTTAGTCTGAGAGAGCAGCTGTGTGATAGACGGTTCACATGTTCCATATCTGTCATGGTACCTGTTGCTGTAGTATTTAGCTATGTGTTCAATTTTGACATTTTGGAAGTGCTTGGTCACATTAGCTGATTTAAAAACAACTTTAAATCATGGATGCAAGATGGTCAGTTCTAGAGTTGAAAAGTGAGAATTAACCAAAATACATTTTTAGGAGCTCCCACAGGTATCCAGACTGGTAAGCTGGTGAGTCAAAATGCAGATGCAGTCAGGGAATGCAGACAAAAGGCCAAGTGCAGCACAAGGCAAGTCTAATAAGCCTAAAGCTAGTTGGAAAAATAACTATATTCAAATTGAGCCAGGTAACTACAAGGTATATATAGAGCAGGAGAGAAAATTAAGTCTTGAGGGACTGAAGGACCAGACAGAAGCGATGAAAGGGGTGTTACTTGCTTCACATATTTTTCTTAAGTGAGCCAAAGATGTTCACTATCTTCTCAAGAGGCATGGCCGAGCAAAACCTTGAAAAGGGAGGAGAACACTGACAGTACTTTCTGAAAGACAATATCCTCAGGGCTTTCCTGTTCCCTGTGAAGAAGGTAGAGGGCAGTCAGATCCTTGTGGGAGGAACAAGGACACAGCTTCTCTAAGGCCAGCAGTTCCGTGGGCAGCGCTGCCCTTGGTCCAAAGCCACTCCTGCCTCCAAATGCCTGCCCTGCATGCGCCAAAACCTTCCTGCAGGACAAAGGCCACCTTTGCCCTGCTGTTCAGGTGTCCAGCAAAAATAAAAACACCTCTGCAACACCACCCTTGAGCATGGAGAAAAGAAATGGCAGTAAATCACAGCTTCTTCATTTGGAAAGAAATGTCTTTCAAAAGTCTCATCATTTTAATGCCATTTCTTTAAAAGCTACAATTACACACTCACTTGGTCCGCTCTCCTCTTCCTTCACCCTTTTAAATACACTTTCTCAACAGTAGTCAATAACTGGGGCCTGTGTAGAAATAACCAAACAAGTATAGAGAAAGCGAGACTTCTCCTGTCACAAGACAGCATTCAACAAAACACAACAAAGCCCTGGTTTTTGAACTACTCTTATCTTGATCTGCTTTGCTGATTCATCAACTCGGCTGACATCAACTTTATTCCAGCATCTCCGTAGCTGAAAACCATTTAAAAACTGAGGGCAATCAGCATTTTTATTAGGATATTCAGCTGTTTATGCCCCACAAGATAAACTAATTGCATGTGATAGCAGGAGGTAGAATAAGGCAGCACATGCACACTTCTAGTAGTCATGCAACTCCAAGAGGGGGAGAAAAATGAAAACCTAAACCATAGCTAAAGGAAAAAGGCATGAACTGCTGAAAGTCTTATCCAAAGATGTCCCAAGTGGTATTAACAGGCCCTGTTCCCGTAATCAACAATAGCACGGTTTGTTGCAGTGGTTTTGGCAGATTAATCTCTTGCTATAAATACTCCTGGTTTCACAGCTGCACCAACTTGAAAATGAAAACTGAATCAAGTCTCAATGTTGTTTTCTCCTCCAGCATAGGCTCAGAACAATGGTAATCATGTAAAGAAAAAATATTTGGACAAACCAGACTGGAAATTTAGACTATTTTAGGATGGTGTCAAGCGCATCTTTAGCTCAAGTAATAGCATTAAGTACTCCCCTGCTTCAGCTTCCCTTTCAAGTTCAACACAACTCTGAATATCACTTTCATGCTTTCATGAATGGGCCTCAAGACCAAGTTCTGGTACAATTTCAGGATGCTGCCATGTAAAACCCCACCACATGCCTGTTTAGACAGTCAGAGTAAATACACTGTTTTGTGAGTTAAGGTTTATCTGAAATCATCAGAGAACAAGTGCCAGAATTGAGATCAGCTCTGTTACAGAAGGCACAAGGCTGGAAACCCTGCTGACCATGTTGGAAGAACTCCTTTAAAGAGCACTCTGGTTTACCCGTTTCCAATCCATCCTGACTGTGTCAAGGACAACACTGACAGAAGGCAGGAGATGTGAAGGAAAATACCTTAGAACACACAGTAATGGCACAATCCAAAACCTGTTTAATTACAGACACCATTGACTTTTGTGCACTTTGTTTTTGTTCCTCAGCTCCCATTAACTACACAGAACTGTGGGTCAAGAGAGGTCAGGTTCAACCTCTTTCTTCCCTTTAAAGCATCACCAACAGAACACTTTCCCGTCACAAAGTTACTCTGAACATTTTGTGCATATTTTATAGCAAACATAAAAAGAATTACCAAACCAACTGGTCAGATTATTAAAATAATATTCTTAGTGGTGTATTACAAAAGAAATGTGCAAGAGTTCCTCCTAAATCAAACTACAATACTTAGCATTAATGAAAATACCTGCATAAAGCACACTCTAACAATTTTGCCACTTTCCAGTTAAGACAGGTATCGGGAAACCTTAAGGCAAAACCCTTCTTTTTCCACAACACACACTCTTTAACAGGTTCTCCCTAACATAACGCGCACACAACAGCACATCATCAATTTAAAAAAATATTTAATGCTGCCAAAAAGTATAAAAATACAATAAGAATGGCAGTACAAAACAAAATACTTCCTAATTTATTTCTTTTACATATTTCTACATTAATACAGGCATTATAAAAACACAAGATGGCAAATTATTTCGTTTTGCAAAGTAGCACACGCTGCTGGTGGTCTTCATCCCCTCGGTGCAGTTTACGCTGTAAACAGATAACTGAGGTCTTCTTGGTACTTAACAGACCTCACTTTTTGTTCCCGAAGAGGGGAGGGGTCATGTCTTGCTTTGCATGTCAATAATTTGCAGTTTATAGCTGCAGAATATTCACAAGTCTCGAAGGCTTAGGTGTCAGTCAGTCTCGGCCTGCGACATACAACCAAAAGAAAGTCACCGATTCAGTACAGAATACGGGGATAAAAAGCAACAAAAAAAAAAAAGAACTAAGAACTGACAGCGGGTTTGCAGCTCACTGGCAACACCAAACAGCTTCTCATGTGTTCCCGGAGCAACTACTGCCTCTGAGCAAGTACTGTTGCTTTTCCAGAAGGTATTTCCATGTTACAGTATAAGGCACATCCTTGCTGGAGAGTTTCAAGTACAGGTCTCAGTCCAGCAAACAACTTCCTCACACATGTAACCACAAGCACTGCAGAAGTCTCCTTAGGCCTCAGAGGGACTATGACAGGCTGCATCTCAAAACTCATCACCTCCCACAGAGATGATGCTACAGGAGGCCAATCCTGCTACAGCAGCTCGAAAGTAACTGTTTCTAGGCAAAGATTTCCTGCAGTAAGAAAGACACCCCAGCACTGGACATTTTCTTTTTAGGCAAGGGAAGGCTCTACTCGAGTCTACAGAAAGAGACCTTGGTGTTTACAGCACCACACCCCCGAGCTACTACAGGTAAAATGAGTCTGAGTTCTGCAAGCACTACACTGATTCATAAAGCAGCTTTCCTCCACCAGTTACGACACATTGAAAGAGGGCTTCCAAGTTTTTATCCTTCCAACTTAAATAAAGACTCAGACAGAGATACAATTTTGAACACGTTTATTTTTTGTACATAAAAATGAAAGACTGACTTAAAACTTTGGGGGCAAACAAAAAGGCCCAGGAAGACTACTGTGTGTGTCACATCACCTTTGCAAATACCATCCTCTGGCTTAAGCCACTCAGCCCTGCAGAAGACTTCCTCTTTTGTCACTGTTAATTTAGTTTCTCGTGCAGTCCTCAAGTGTCTCAGGTTTTACTATAATGCCAAACAGCAAACTAAATAATTTGGTTTACATTCAATAAACATAAAGCTAACCAGGCTTTTTCACTGCCTGCATGATCCAGTCACACATACATGCATACACATTTATG